TGCGTTTTTATGCGTTTTTGCATGTATGTAAATTGCAAAAACGCATATTGGGAAGAGGCTGTGTGTGAGTGTGTGTGTATGTGTGTGTGTGTCAGTGTGTCCGTGTGTTCGCCGTTTTTGTCACCCACTTTCAATTCGAGAACCAGAAAAGCTTGAAGGAAGAAATTTTGAGAGTAATGTGCCCATATCATGCGCGGCCCTCCCGTTCTAATTTCATCCTCCGCGGACGCCTGGGTGCTGCGAACGGGCGTTTTAAAAAAATATGCAAATTTTTCGGGAGGAAAGCGATCTTGGGAACCACACGAGCTGGGGGCCTAAAACTGTGGAGATATCCCCTGTGCATGTACTAGCTAAAGGTTTCAAATTCAGCCCCAAGGTATGCGTGGTACTCACGTAAGGGCGTATGAAAGTTTTGGGGGAAAAATTGTTAACTTGGGTACCTGAAAAGCTGGAAAGCTGAAATTTTGAGGGAGTGTTCCCTGTTCAAGTACAACACAAGTATTTCAAATTCAGCCCCAAGCTGTGCATGGTTCTTACGTAAGGGCGTATGAAACTTTCTGCAGGAAAATTGCTAACTCGGCAACCAGAAGAGCTGGAAGGCTGAAATTTTAAGGGGGTGTTCCCTGTCTACTTGCAATTTAAAAATTTCAAATTCAGCTTTCTAGGCATGTGGAGTACCCGCGCACGGGTATATGAAGGTTTTGGCGGGGAGGTTGCTGACTCGGTAACCAGAAAAGCTGGAAAGCTGAAATTTTGAACGAATGTTCACTGTCCAAGTACAACTTAAGTATTTCAAATTTAGTCTTGAGGTATGCGTGGTTCTTATGTACGGGCACTTAAAAGTCTTGGCGGAAAAATTTTTCACTGAACAATTAGGTTACTTTTAAAGAACGATTGTTAAATGGAAATTATACATACTTTGCAAAATTTATGGTGATTTATGCTAGTAACCGCAAAAGGTAGGTGTAAAGCAACAGCCATTTTAGTTAATGACCTGAGTATTTCAAGTCTGGTGCAAAAACATATGATCGCACGGGCCCGCCTGGTGCATTCCAGCTTGGGTTGCAGTCTGCATACATGCAAAAACGCTTGCCATTGCTTAAAACGTTAAAGTATTCCCATGAGATATAATGAATCAGCTTAACGCGAATATGAATTGGGCCGCCTCGTTCAAGTTGTTGGAATTTACCTCTCCTATTTTGTTCCATTTCTGGTAGATGAGAAATTTTCTATCACCAAAATTTTGATTACTTCAAAACTGTTTCTTCATTCTCAGGAAGTAGTGGGAACAGGAAGCATATTCGACAAGCTGCACAGGCAGAAAGTTCAAATTCTTCGTCAGTAGTGTTCTTACCAAAATCGGCTTACAAGAAAAAATCTTTTCTTCGATTTGGCATGCGCTACACTCTCAAATGATAATAGTTCGAACCGGACAAATCATTTTTCAGACGGTATACACCGGGAAATTCGCCTTCGCTGTTGAGCACACTAATCACAGGAGCAGCAGTTCTGCTCGCTACGCCTTTTGCCAGTGCATGCTTCCCCTCGTCATATGCAACAAAAATCGTCGCCATGCCCTCCTCTAAACAATTATTATCAGTAATGGAGAGCTGCTCTAAAGCACTCACTGCTACCATTCGCCCAAGTGTTTTGTGCATCATAGCAGGGCCAGATCACTTACGCTTTACAAAACTGAGTCTTTTTTACTTTTGTTCTCATTATTAGCCAGTCAGTAGTAAAGAAAATCATTTGGTCATTGAAATATACTTTTAGTTCATCGTCTGCTCCATCTCTGTCCGGTAAAATTAGCTTCACTCTACTCCAAAGGTTATGCTTAGGAACATGTAATACACTCCAACACAAGTTTTTGCCCCGCAAAATCTAAAATTACGGCCTACAAAAATCTTATTTTGCGTAATATAACTGGCCATAAGCCCAAAGAAACACACTGCCTATAACAACGTAATTATGCATACAGGTTCACACTCACGCAGGCAAGCTGTTACGAGGGAAAAAGGGCTGCCACACCTTTTTATCCCAAAGTTTTGCTCAAAAAACTTGAAGGGGGCGAATAATTCAGCGCGAAAGGAAGGGTGAAAAAAAAAAGAAATCGTAAAAAAAAGTTTATGCAATCAACAAAAATGTAAAAGGGCATTTACATTAGCTAGGAAATGTCCGAACTGAATTAAAAATAAAAAAATCTTGGAAGGCTTGAAAAAAGCTAAATTTGTTGGACAGCTTACGATTTAAAAATGGAGGCTATTCATGCTTTACGTGCAAATAAATAGTAATAATAATGATAGTAATAATAATGGAAGTAATGACAATAATAACTGCAATAGTAAATTATAAGACATAAAAAAGTGGGAAAATGGAAAACGTAAAAGGGAAAAAGTGAAAGGAGGAAATTAAAAATATGTATGCCACAAGTCCTAACCTCCGCCATTTTTTCAAAACCTACGTTACCAGTAGTGTGTGCATTTGTGATCGCAAACTTTTTAGTTACATATATGCGTGCGTGGATCGACTCACATGGATGGACGTTATGCCGAAATTAGCTAAAAAGAAAAGGTAAAACAAACGATCATATTCGGAAATAATTTCAAGGAGCAGCTCGAAAGCATAGCACATGGATATCCTCCTCCACTCTACTTGAATACCGAACTCATCCGCAACTTCGCATGCATCTTTTGACATGCTGGAATTTGATTCTGAATCCAGCAAGACTACCAAACGCTTATTCGTTTGTGGCTGAAAAAAAACGCACCAACACGCTAATTAAAATTTCTGTGGAAAGTTTGTTTATGCATTGCAAAAACTGATTTTGATTTGAAAGCTAATAAAAATCATTTTTGTGCGTTTTCGCAAAAATAAAATTTCAGTTTAGGACACTATCAACAGTGTCCAAAACTAAAAAAAACCTAGGGTGTTTTAAACCTAAATTTTTGAAACGCTTGGGCTCTTGCTCTTGAGCGTGAAAGGACAGATTCAAAACTGAATAATAATTCAAAACAAGAATAAATTCTCCTAGACGAATCTTTAAACTGCCAAATCATTGAGCTTTTGAGAGTTAAAATGCTTACACTGTCATTAAATGTTAGATCTTGGAGCTGCACTGATAATTTTGGCTCAACGTCTTGTTTGTTCTTCTCTGAAGCCATGAAACAAATTTCATTGCTTAGCGCTTCGGTGAGTAACAAACGATCTAAATAATTTTACTAGCGGTTAGTTTGTTTCCGCCGTTCATTCTGAGAAAAGGGAATTCTGGCAAGTAGTCTGAGCAAATCTTTCATTCCTCTGCCAAGAATTAGCGTAGGTGAGTGTGCTACCCTCATGGATATACATTTGGCGGTTTTGATTAATCCCTGTTCACCAAGGGCACATCAACATCATAAGTATATCAGTTTAGGCCGAATATTATAGTCCTTTTGCCGCAAAACATATCTTGTAAGCTTTATCAAATTATAATGACAACACTAGCCAGGGTGTTAAGATGGAAAGTTATGATGCGCTTCCTCTTAGAAAAACAAAGCTGCTTGTATGAAAATTAGTGATAATAGTTCTTACAATCCAGAAAAACTAAATGCATGAGCCTGTAAGATGTCGGAGCAATCAGCTGTTTTTGGTATTTGCGGATGCAACTCCAATAAATATGCCATGAGATGCCCAACGGCTGCACAGCATCGTGTGAACTAATACAAATCACCAAGATTTCAGATTTGTAGCTCCTTTCCCGCTTTACAGTTATAATAGTAGTCCAAAGCTGAGCATCAGACACATTAGGAAGTAGTGAGGCTTAAAGGCTGGCAGCAAAAATTTTGAATTTTTTGATATACACAATTCCAGCCAGTAAACATGGCGCAGTGAAGTACTGCTGTTGCTGTGCAGTAAACCGCAAATTTGACTTCGCCAGCGGGGCATCTAATCCCTCCACGATTCGTTCATTCGTTTCTATGATAAATTCGTACTGGTATACACCAGAAAGTAAAACGTGCTATCAACTTGCTTGTCGCAGTGCTCCGAAAAGGGGAGTCCATCGAAAGCGTCGCTAGTGGGTGGTCCCCGTTTAGCATTTGCTACCACTCGGGCTAATTCCCGAATATTTCTGCCTTTCACTGAGAGCGAGTATGAAGGGATTTTTGATTTTTTCGATAATTCATTACTATTCTTTCCCATCCTCTCTAGTGGAGAATTGAACCAACGGAAGTGTGTTGTCAAATTCTTGACTGTTATGACAACTCTTGGATTGTGGACTTCATTAGAATTATGAGTATAAGCAGTTTTTTTCACATTCTTATTTTTTGTAATATTTGAGAAATTATTCTCAACAGCTTGCTCCAGTTGTCCCTCTAAAAAGTACATCATCAAAAGTCTTCCAGAAAATGCTTTTCGTGGCATACGCTATCAGTCGGGCTATTTCCACATGTCTCTAAATCTTTTAGAAAGTGGCTATTGAGGAATTTTGAATAAGACATTAAAAGTACTTCAATCACGAAAGAATAATTTGAAAAGAAAAATGCATTTAAAAGTAAGTGGTGGCTGATCACTAATGAATACAAGGACATCCGCCCACGAATCCTAAACAGCTTCTTTTTGTTGCATGTCCTAGCTCTCTTGGCTTTCTTCTAACCCATTTAATTAATTCAGGCTGATTCAAGCAAGAAAAAGTGTAAATGACTGTGGTCTAACTTTCGTCGTTAACACCAAACTTAATTCGGAGCTGCTCGAGCTTCGCGCACTGATTCAAAGCAAACTTCTCGAGAATGCGAAAAATTAAATCACACTGGCGCTTGATTTCGTCCAAGATATCCATTTTAGCGCAAAATCCGCTCACCTTAGGGAGGCGAGTTAATAAATGAGTATCGTTGGTCGTCACATATTTTTTCGTCCCAACCTAAATTATTGTTTTTTCAACACATGCAGTGATAAATTGCGTATTTTTTTTATAGCGTACTTTATTTATTTTTTTTTTTTTAATTCGCACTAAAGAAACCATAATTTTCTCTTTATGCAACACTTTTAGAAAATATATCGAACTTCAAGTTTTTATTTTTTGGTGCAACTCAAAAAAACATAGCGATGCTGTGTGTTTGTGTGTGTCTCTACACAAACACAATAAAATCGACCTTTTTAGTGGCGGTAATCATTGGGGCGCTGTAACGCTCCGATGATAAAGGCACTCGTTTCACGATCCAGGCATAGGGAAACGTTTTGCATCGATGTGCTACATAATCCATTGGTCCGATTCCGTGTTGAACAAATGCATTCTCCAGCCCTAAATTTATTTCTGCATGAGTAACACAATCACTCACCGTGCAAGACGTCGCTCTTGACGCTGCTGATTTAATACACCTTTCAATACCATCGGCAAGCTGCTCAGCGCACTTCAACAATGTTATCACTTTGATTAGCACATTTCGAAATAGGGAGCTCGAAAATTCATGAGTTTTTGAAAAGTGCATCAAGCGATTTTCGTATGCAAGGCACTAACCAACAAATCGCAAATAGCAGAGAATGCCTTTATCGCATCGATCCCCGTGAGCACAGCGAACTAGCACATACTGTAATAACCGAAGCAAATTACGGTAGCACTGAAGTCCGCTTATTGTGATATCATTATAAACTCACACCCTTTCTTTCCTCCTCTTTCCCTCTTTTTAGAATCAAAGGTAAAATAGTGTATCAAATTTAGGCATCCAATCTAAAAAGTCTTTGGTAAAAGATTCGCATTTCCCTTATTTTGCAACCACCGTACATCTCCAAATTATTTTTTTCAAATGTCAACAGAAACCACTGTGCTATTTGCACCAACTATAGGTTTGATTTGACTTTGAAAAGGTGATCGAATCTGAAGCGAACTAGGGGTTCGTAATTACCAGCAGAGTACTCTCGGAATGAAAAAAATCGCTGACATTTGGAAGACTGTTGATTTTGTAGATGTTCTTCTTTTCACCAGTTTCAGAGAGAGCGATTTTGCACTCATCGAGCCCTGACAAAACCGCTTGCTCATTCTGGCTCAGCGACTTCGGAGACACCTGTCAACTAGTGTCATGATATCGACGCAAAAAAAAAAAAAAACAAGCTCAACAGTGTTTTTGGCAAATTAATTATGTCAAACTCGTTATTTCTGCATTTGTGGCTATGTCCACATAAACTAAGAATTTGAAATGTTGGAAACTAAATTGCCAGTCTTGCACGGCCAAACTCCGGAAATCAATTCTTAAGTCTCCTTCCTTGTCCTCTTTGCACCTTGATGTACGATGTCAAATCTAGATGTAGGATTAAGACTGAATCGAAGCGAAAAGAAACATACGCTTATTAAATCTAGCAATTAATTTGGAAGGGTTTGTCAGAGTGCTTTTAAGATTTCATCGTGACTAATCTGTTATTCCAGGCCAAAAGAGAAGTTAATCTCACAGCTTCAAAAAAGAACGAATTGCATACTCCAACATTTGGGTTTCACTTTGCGGGTTGGTAGTAAATGGCAAACTAAAAAGTTTTCCGCCCCGCTTCGTCTTGAACCGTATGTACCACCTAAAAGTGCATAAATGCATCGTTCAGCTGGTAATATAGTTATTGCTATATGTTTTTATGCTATTTCTGTGCGTTTTGGAACCATTGGTGAAATGTAATAACGCATAATCCGTGTGTGTGTGTGTGTGTGTGTGTGTGTGT